GATTAGTATATTTTTACGAAAAAAAAAAGATTTGATACTGTAAAATTTAAATGATTACCTAAATTAATTATTTTGTTATGTAAATTTATTACTTTTGAATTTTCATTTTTTCCTTGATAAGTAGATGGGAGAAATGAAGTATCTGGATCATGATTCCCTAAGATAATTTTTTATCAATCATTTATTTATTAATTTAAAATCTTTTATTATCATTTGTAGTATTGTATTCAAAATCAATAGTAATTTGAGAAATACCAGGTATATAATACAAGGGTTTACCAATATTCTCAAGGCCATCGATTACTTCACGAAATTCTATTTCATCCTTTATCGTTATATATATTATATTGTAATCCAAAAGATATATTGTAAAAAAATCTATTATGAGTAACTCCGGATATTTATAATTGACATTTATAATTGATATTTATAATTGATATTTATAATTTGTTTAACCTTTTCTGTAGTCAGTGGAGTGATATAGTCTGCATTTACAAGATCACCCGATGCGATAATAAAATCGATACTTTGAAATAAAAATTAATGAAATTTTTATCGATATGATATAAAGCATAATCAAGATTTATACAATCGCATTCCCATATCAGGACTATTAATAGGAGTTCTTATACGTACAGGGAATAAAGAATTATCTATGTACATATAGTAAATATGTTTATAAACTTATGTGCTTATATGGGAATGCGACTGTAATCATAAATAAACATTCTTGTTTAAAAAAATAAAGCCTACTCTTTTAATCGATCTTTTTGAATTAACCAGGTTTTAAGATTTTTAATATTATCCAAATTATGATGGATATCGCTAACGAGAAGAAATGTACATTGCATTTTTTTTTTTCCTACTAGAATTTTTCCCGATTTCCTTTTTACGTTTAAGGTGTTGATTGCTATGTGTGGCATGATGGAACGATACGACGATACGATACCGATACGATCTGTTGTGATATCAATATGACAACAAAAAAAGTGTAACTTGCATATCAAAGTCTTACAAATCTATTCTTTATCGTACAACGTCATAATAATTACATAAAAGTTTATTTGCTGAGAAATCAAAAATTAAAGTTAGCTTCAATATATAAAGACCTCATTTTGCTGTTCTGAATAATTAGTTTTTAACAACTATTTTATTTATTTAAATCTATTTTTTTTTCTTAAAAAGTTCTTTTTTTTTTTGATATAAAATTTTTTGATACGAAAGAATAAATAAAATGGTTGTTAAAGTCGGTATCAACGGGTACCGTATCTATTTTAAGTTTTATTTTT